ACCCATGCACTTCACAGATCGAGTTCCCTCTCTGGTCCCTCAGCCAAATCAAAAAGAGCTGGAAAGGAACAGCAAAATCAGGAGAGCAGACAGAAAGGAGCAGCTACACAAACAAACTCATTTATCAGGCAGAGACACCCATCGTGTCCTTCATACGCATCGGCAGCTCTCCTTCCTCTTCCAAGTCTCAGCTCCTGAATGCTCTGCTGAGCAAACAAAAACACGACACATTTTTCCATCGGCATTGCAGAGGCAGCGCCAAGGATTGCTTGCTGATGAAAGGTGTGGTGGAGATCTCCTGGTATTGTCCCCGTGGTAGCGACGATGACATTTTTGACAGCTGTGTTGCTTTCTGTAACCTGCACGGAGATGCCAGGGATCACGAGCCACAGCTGAGCTTCTTGCAGGAGATCTCTGCTGTGAACGTGGTTCTCGTTTCTGAGTCTGATCAGGGTGATAGGAAAGGCAGGAGAATTTTACAGGACCTGTGGCAGTCTCAGAGGCCCTTGGTTTGTCTTTTCACTGAGAAAGAGAACATTGCAGCTGGCCGATCTAGCCAGAACATAAGAATAGGTATCAAGAACAGGAGTGAAGCAGAATTAATGGGCGAGCTGACAAAAACAATCCGAGATCTCCTGGAGGGCTCAAGCACACTCTCTAGCCTCGATATGTGTCTGGGCACAGCTCGCCAGCATGGCTTCATAGTTGATGAAGATGCAGAAGCATGTGTGATAGCCAAAGAAAAGGCAAACGAGCTGGTGAAACTGCTGAAGGGAGAGCAGCTGTCTGAGATCAAATCAAAGCTACTGCCTCTTCAAGGAAAACTGTGGTACAATTGGTGTAAAAAGGACAGAGAACTCACTCGCTTACAGGAGAAGAGGAACAAGAGCATAGAACATCATCGGAGTCAAATTGAATGTGACAAAGCTGCAATAAGAAGAAAGCAACTGGACACGGTATACCCCTTCAATCAGCTGATGCAATCATTCCTTGGCTTTCTCCAGTCACAGCCAGGCAACACCAAGAAATATTTCCTGCAGTGGATGAAGATATTCATGGACGACCTGTCCTCCGATCGCCTTGATGAACTGAAGAGAGACTATCATCAGTTATGGTCTCAAATGTTGGCAATGAAGAAAAGCAATGAAGAAAACAACCCCAAAACTGTAATGATGAAAAGGTTAGATTCCCTTTCCAATGAAATCAGTGATTCATCCGTTGGCCTTGAGCATATTTTGAGAGAGGTAGGGCAGATTTATGAAGCTCTTGAATCAACCGATACCAAACATGTTTGTTTTCTCAAACTACCTGAAATTGCAGCTGATCTGATGGTTTCAGGGTATCCCATTGAGCTGATGGATGGCGATGTTTCTTATGTACCCTTACAATGGGTTGCAGCAATCTTTGACAGGTTAATTGAGAGGTTAGGTGACAAGCGAGTCTTTGTCCTCTCCGTGCTTGGTATCCAGAGCACAGGGAAGTCAACCCTACTGAACGCCATGTTCGGTCTCCAGTTCAATGTCAGTGCCGGCAGATGCACCCGGGGAGCTTTTATGCAGCTCATTAAAGTGGACGAGAAGCTGCAGCAAGATGTGAACTTTGATTACATGCTGGTTGTGGACACGGAAGGTCTTCGTGCCATAGAGATGGCCAATAAGCACTCACTGAATCATGACAACGAGCTGGCCACCTTTGTCATTGGCATTGGCAACATGACTCTGATCAACATCTTTGGAGAGAACCCTTCCGAAATGCAAGACATCCTTCAGATTGCAGTGCAGGCTTTTCTGAGGATGAAGCAAGTCAAGCTTTCCCCAAGCTGCCTGTTTGTGCATCAAAATGTGGGCGAAATAACGGCAAAGGAACAGAACATGGAAGGACAAAGGCGTCTGCAGCAGAAGCTGGATGAAATGACAGTGACAGCAGCCCAGCAGGAATTCTGTGACATCACCTGCTTCAGTGATGTCATCCGCTTTGACGTGAACACCCACATTCATTACTTTGCTCACCTGTGGGAGGGTAACCCGCCAATGGCACCACCCAACCCCACCTACAGCCAGAACGTCCAGCAATTAAAGAGCAAAATTCTCCAAGACGCCAAGAAGGAATCTCCGGGCAGTGTTCTGAGGCTCTCCAGCTTGAAAGTTCGTATTAGTGACCTGTGGAACGCCTTGCGGAATGAAAACTTCATTTTCAGCTTCAAGAACTCGTTGGAAATTGCTGCATACAAGAAACTGGAAACCTCCTTTAGTCAATGGACCTGGAAACTGAGAAGGCACGTCTTAGACCTGCAAATGCAACTGGACAATAAGATTCGGAATGGAGAGCTGGAGAAAGTCACCATGAAAGAGCTTGAAAATCTGGTGCAAGAAACAAGTGATGCCATCACCAAAGACGTGGAGAAGTTCTTCAGTGAAGACAGAGACTGTGAGATACTGATTCAGTGGAAAAGTAGGACGGAACTGAATCTGAAAGAGCTAAAAGCGTCCCTTCTTGATGAAACCAAGAGGAAGTGTGAGAAACTTCTAGAAATAAAGAAGAGCCAAAGTCGACTGGATGAGAGGAAATCTGAATATGAAAGTGAGCTCCTGAAAAAGAGCAGGGAGCTGGCTCTGTTAAAAAGCCAGGAATTAAGTGAGCAAGAATTGAGGAGGAACTTTGATTCCCTCTGGATGACCTGGGTTACTGAAGTGTCTTCTAATGCTCCCACTCTGGAAGAGGTGAACATCGATTTTGAAATAGACGATGTCCTTCTCAAACACTTTAAGGAGGGTTCAAATATAGCTGATCGAATCTTGAAATCTTCCAAGCAGACCACCTTTTCACTTGATGAGAAGAAACACATATCCCAGAAGAGGTATTTGGACAAATTTGTGTCTTATTTTCGTGAGTCTGATTTGAGCACCTTACAGCACATTACAGACCGCATCATAAGGCGTGTGCAGGAAAACATTGACCAGAAGGAAAAGGACAAAATGGATTACTGTCACACTTTTATTCATGAAATACTAAATGAAGTGCAGGAAGGTATGAAAACTGTCCCTAGCTCAGAAAAACATCATTTTACAAAAGATTACGAGATAGATCTTTCAGTGTATCTGTGCAGAATGGCAGCAGCCAGGTTTAAAGACATGCACGCAGCCTTCAGGAAAGCAAATGACCCAGTCATCTACCTGGAGAGCAAGAGAGAAGATTTCTTCAAATGTTTCCAGATTTCTTGCCAAGGTGCCACTTCTATCACAACATTTGCTGATTTCCTGTGCAGCAAGATCGACCCAGGTCTTCGCCTGGCCATCTATGACAAGACAGCTCTTGTCATAGCTGAACGTATGAGGAGTGAAATACGAGACTTCAATGGCAGTAGGGCCAATCTGGAAGTTTGCATACTGAAATACCTGGCACAGGGAGAAAATTTTGAAAAATTCAAGCTGTACATTCGTTCCCCAGCAGACTTTTTGGAGAGTTATATTCAGACACATGTGAAGACATACTGTTTAGATGAGAACAGTCGTCTGGTGATGTTTTTAAATGAAACTCTTACCCAGTACTATGAAAAAATTCAGAAAGCTGTGTTTACATCAACCACAGTTGTTAAAGACAGAAGAGTCAGCAATAAGATAATCTCTCTTTGGCTGGATGAATTCTGCAGAGAACTTGGAGGGGTCCTAAGATTGCCCAGGAGTGACCTGGTTGGCATTGAACATCTGGAGATAACAGACATAGAGTTCCTGAATAACGCCATGACGGAGGCACTTTCTCCCCTGAGGGATCGTCTCAAGGAAGAGTTTGCTCGTGCTGATTTGAGCTCATTTGAAAAGCAGCCTCACACAATACTGCTGGAACAGTTTCCAGGGTGCAAGGCACAGTGTCCATTTTGTTGGGCAGTTTGCACAAACACTGTGCCAAACCATGATGGAGACCACCAACTTGTCTTCCATCGTCCTCAATTTTTGGGCGGATACAAATGGGTTTACACAGACAACCTTGTCATTGATATTTGTTCCAGCCTTGTTGCCAGCGACTGTTACTTCATTCATCCCGGTTACCCTAGGACCCTATGCAAGAAATACCGAGATGCAGGACATCCATTTTCTACTTGGAACATTCTTCCTGACACATCTATGCAAAAATACTGGAAATGGTTTGTGTGTCATTTCAGGGCACAGCTAGAAGAATTCTACAATGGTAAATTTGATGGCAGAGGAGAAATCCCTGCTTCGTGGCACAAAATTACAAAGCAGGAAGCGCTTGACGAACTGAGGTAGGCTTAGTTGACACAAAGGAAAATCTGCAACTGCACTGCATGTTAGAAGACCATGACATGAGAATATCCACAAAATATTGTTGCAAAAATTATGGCCTTCAAGAATGTCAAAAGGACTGCATCTAACTGCTCATAAAGCTGGGCAAAATGAGGTGTTCTACTCCTGACGCTCCTCAGAAATGCTCCTCCTTCATGATAAAGTCAAACTCCTTTCCTTCCTTGCCATAAATGCCCGCATCAGCTTTGTCTTAGAGCAAAAAAAGAAACAATGCATTTCTGCAGCACTCATGCATACAACCAAGGTTAAGACCAAGGCAGCATTAGAAAGTACCAAATTATCTGCACCTATGTAAAAATAAATGACTCTGGCAAAAGAATAGCTTCCCTGCAGGAAATCCTTGTCACACTGAAAGAAAGGACAGTGATGTCTGAGTGCGGGTAAACATTTGTGGGGAGCTAAAAACCCCTTCTTGCTAAACTTAGTTCTCAGCTCCGTTATAGTGATTTAAATCCATGTTCATTAAGTATCCTTCCCACAACTTCTGTGAGCTCCTGCTCAGGTCCCCTGGAGAACTTACGTCCATCTTGCAGAAAATCCAACTACATTTAGCATGTGCTTAGATTCTGGGCAAAAGCCGCTTGTATAACCAACATAGAGAATTAGTTACCTCTGCAGCTTCCTCAGTAGACATCAGCAGTACTGTTGATCCTCCTGGAGACTTTGTGATTCGCTGTAACCATTTGTAGACTTTGCTATTAAACTGGTAGAGTTGGACTGGACTGGTCTGTGTGTGCTTTCTTTCCACTTAAGCCACAGTTACTGTGGAACCTTAGCATTGTTTCAGTGGGAAGGGACCTTAAAGCCCACCCACTTCCAACTCCTCCTAAGAGCTGGAACGCCTCCCACTTGGTCAGGCTGCCCAAAGCCCCATCCAGCAAGGTCTTGAGCACCTCCGGGGATGAGGCACTCAGAGCTTCTCTGGGCAGTCTGTGCCAGGGCCTCAGCACCCTCTGACTAAAGAATTTCTTGGTATTTTCTAAATCTCAGTCTCCCCTCATTGTTTAAAACCATTCCATATTACAGTCCCTGACAAATCGTTGCTCTCAGCTTCCCTATGGGCGCATTTGGGTACTGGAAGGCCACAAAGAAGTCTCCTCAGAGACTTCTTCTCTGGGTCAAACAAGCCCAACTCTCAACCTGTCTTCAGAAGAGAGGCGCTCCAGCCTTCTGAGCATCCCTGTGGCCCTCATCACTAAGGAACTGTGGGGCTCCACCCAGACAGCATTCCCCTCCTTTGTAGTTAAACTTTCTCCACCCTCTGCCACAAAATCTATATGCACGGTCCTACACTGAAACCCTCATTTATTTATTTATTGCAACTGTGGGGCCCAGGAGTCTCTACGTGGACTTCTGCAAGAGCTTTGACATGATCCCACACCACATCCCTATCTCTAAATTACGTATGTGTATGGCGTGAAAGATGACTGCTGAAAACTTTTTTTTCCTTGGCTCATAGCTCGCTTTGTGAGGCCTTTCTGGCAATCAGGCTCTAACTGACAACTGAGAATTATCTATGGGGATGAGAAGTGGGTGTCACTGTGCCACAGTGCTTCTGCTTATGATTGCAAAGACATGCAGAAGCGGGAGAAGGAGTCTTTTTTTCGGGGGAGTGGCTTGAAGCAGCTGACCACTGCAAAAGGCCATAATACTTGTGCACTGACACCTGAGGCACCACTCGCTGATGGCTTATGGGGAGGGCCAGGAATGTTACACCAACAGAAAAGAAGAAGAAAAAAAAAAACACGTGAGAAGCACAGCATAAGAGGCTTCCACTAAAGTATGTACTTTGGAAGGAATTCCCTGAAAGAAATCTCTTAGGAAAGAATCCACCTGTTGTTTGTATGCTCCCTTCAAGTACAGGAAGGATACAATGAGGTCACCCTGGAGCCTTCTCTTCTCAGTGCTGAGCAAGCCCAGTTCCCTCAACCTTTCCTCATAGGAGAGGTGCTCCAGCCCTCTGACCATCTCAGTGCCCTCCTCTGGACCTGCTCCAAGAGCTCCACGTCCTTCTTGTACTGGGGGACCCAGGACTGGACGCAGTGCTGCAGATGGGGCCGCATAGGAGCCGTGTAGAGGGGGACAATCACCTCCCTCTCCCTGCTGGCCACCCCTTTTAATGCAGCCCAGAACACAGTTTTCCTTCTGGGCTGCAGGCACACACTGCTGGCTCGTGTCCAGCTTCTCGTCCACCAGGACCCCCAAGTCCTTCTCTGCAGGGCTGCTGTCCAGGAGATTTTCCAGTTTGCATAAGTACCTGTGTCATGGTTTTGTCTTTTTTGGTTACTAAGATTTTTCCTAAACCTCTCCATTCGTGTTCTGTGGAAGGAGTCTCCTCCAAAACCACAGAATGCTGACTGGCAGGGAAGATGGAGAGGTTTAGGAAAAGTCTTAGAAGCATGGGGCCTTGCAATGTCATGGGATTTCACTCTTGAACACCTGTGGGATCCCAAGAAACTCAGCCAGTATTTGAGTCAGGGACGGTGCAGCTTACACAGATCTAAGGAGGTACAACTTCTTTGGGGCTTGGCTTGTGCTTACCGTGCCCTATATAACACTATTCTGGAGGGAGAGAGTTTCTGAGCTGAGGTTCAAGCCAAAGGGGAAAATCTCCAAGTCACATCTGATCAATCACAGGAAACACCAGTAACAGTGTCAGTTGCCCTTAGTGGAAGGCAAGAAATGGTGTCCTCGCTTCTAGAGTGGAGTGACTGGGGGCCCTCAAGAATTGACTGTGTTGGAGGCTGAGATAAGGCTCACTGGCAAAGACTGGCAAAAACATCCTATGGCAAAGACTGGCCCAGGGGCTCCATGCATACTTGCTATTGACTACCTCAGAAGGAGGCATTTCACGGATCTTAAGGGGTACCGATGGGCCTTTGGAATAGCTGCTGTAGAAACAGACAACATTAAGCAGCTGTCTTTTTCGCCTGGCCTGTCAGAAGATCTGTCTGTTGTGAGGTTGCTACAAGTAAAAGAGCAGCAGGTACCAATTGCCACAAAAACGGTGCACAGACGGCAGTACCGCACCAACAGGGATTCCTTGCTCCCCATTCAGAAGTTGATTCGTCAACTAGAGAGTCAGGGAGTGATCAGCAAAACTCATTCGCCTTTTAACAGTCCCATATGGGCAGTGCATAAAGCCAGTGGAGAATGAAGTCACAGCCCCACTGAGTGCTGCTGTGCCAGACGTGTTAGAACTCCAGTATGAACTGGAGTCAAAAGCAGCCAAATGGTATGCCACCATTGACATTGCTAACACCTCCTTTTCCATTCCTTTGGCCACAGAATGTAGGCCACACTTTGCTTTCACCTGCAGGGGCATTCAGTACACCTGGAACCGTTTGCCCCAGGGGTGGAAGCACAGCCCGACCATTTACCATGGATTAATCCAAACTGTACTGGAACAGGCCAGTGCACCTGAGATATCGCTGTGCGGGGCGATACAGCAGAAGAAGTCTTCACAGAAAGAGAGCGAATAATTCAAATTCTGCGTGCTGGTTTTGCTATTGAGCGAAGCAAAGTGAAAGGACCTGCCCAGGAGATTCAGTTCCTAGGTATAAAGTGGCAAGATGGCCGTCGTCACATCCCGACAGATGTGATCAACAAAATCACCGCTATGTCTCCACCCACTAGTAAGGAAGAGACACAATCTTTTTGGGGTGTAGTGGGCTTTAGGAGAAGGCATGTTCCAAACTATAGCCTCATTGTAAGCCCCCTCTATCAGGTGACGCGGAAGAATAATAATTTTTTGTGGGGCCCTGAGCAGCAGCAGGATTTTGAGCAGATTAAACAGGAGATAGCCCGTGCCGTGGCCCTGGGGCCAGTACGGATGGGACAGGATGCAAAGAACATCCTCTACACTGCTGCTGGAGAGAAATGACCCACTTGGAGTCCATGGTAAAGAGTCTCAGTAGAGACCCAAGGCTGACCCCTGGGATTCTGGGGTCGAGCGTACAGGGGGTCCAAAGGGTGCTGCACTCCAACTGAGAAGGAGATGTTAGCTGCAT